CATAATATAAAAAAGTACCAAAAATTTAAAAAAAGATAAATTTGAAGACAATTTTGCATGTTGTGGCAAATCATGATGTCTAGGAGGTTTTTTTTCAATATTTTATTTGTTTTCAGCACACCAAAATACATGGAAATTAGATGAAAATAATCAAACAGCTTTTTAGTCGCAGACCTGTGTAATGATTCTGGACCAGTCACAATTTCCCCAGTTTACCTACAGTTTCAGCCTATTTGCAGGCCATTCAAATCAACCTTACAATCTTGTATTGAGTTGTATTGAATTAAGCTCTGTTACTTAAAACATACTTCAAAAATTTCAATTTAGAGATCTAAATTTAGTTATCTTTCAAAATCACTGTACCTTCAAGGCTTGCTGCAGTACTTGGGTGTCATTGATACCTGTGATTTCTCTCAGCTGATTCAGAAATATCTGCTGGTGCTGAAGAATTAAAGAGGTGATCAGCATAGAAGACAAATTAAAGTAAACAAATAAACAAAAAAGCTAGTTAGTGGAAAACACAAGATTCCCCCGCCCCCCGCTTTAAAGAAATGTGTCTAACAGTATCAATGTGTACAATTTCAAAATGGAGCATAGGAAACTTAAGTTTAGAGCAGCTGCTACAAATTCCATTAACTCCAGACAACATACCCATGATAAATTACAACAAAACAAACTAGTATGATTGTTGCTATTGCCTTTTCAAATTTCTAAATCATCGCAAGCTAAAAATAAATTTAAATTGCCAAGGAGCCATAAAGTATCACAAAACAACTTGAGAAAAAGACTAGTTCCAAGAAATATTTTGTTTTGTTTTGGTTTAAAATTTATAAGCCTTTTTTTTTCAAAATACAACTTTTGTTAGGGTAGCATACACCTATATTTAAATTTCTATCTGCATTAAACTGTTAAATAGAATAAACAAACAAAAAGAGTTTCTGTTGTATGAAATAAAGTATGGCAAATAACACTAATTGGGATTTTTTGGGGGGGAAGGGGGAATGAAGAGGAACTAATTTTGTTGATTGCCTCTATAAAGAATTCCAAATGGGTTTCAAAAGCATCGTGCAAGAAAAGTAAAGGGAAATTACACTATTGCCTTCTTTGAATGATTTAAGACTCATATTTTATAGATTCTGGTTGAAGTATAAATCTAATGATGACCGCACCCTCACCAGCAGTCACAGTTTGGGCACTTGACAATTGGCTCATCTCTACAGCCATTTGTAGCATCCCACATGACTGCATTTTTTTACTTTCTTCATGAAGTTGCTAAATATAATTGTAAAAAATGCCAATTAAATGCCAATTAAAATAATTCACTTAATGACTGAGATATTTGCTTAACTGTCAGATATTTTTTGTCATCTGCTCTGTTTATCTAACTGTATAAGCTACACACTCTGCATTGTTCACAATTATTATTTAGTTATTTCCATTAAATATATATATATATATTTTAGATAGAAAGTAATGCACTATTTATCATATACTGCAGCTTCTCATTTTCTTGACTTAAAACTTTATGAACTGATTTAAAAACCCATCTTGTTATGGCTAATTCTTTTTTACATTAGCTCAACATTGATTTATAAACATGAAATATTAAGCATAGCCACATGAATAGTTTAAATAGGGAGTAACCATGTAAAATGTCAACCCAGCATAAAGGTACCATAAAGAGTTTCGTTTTCCAGACTCCCTCAAGACTTTGCTAACTTTGTAACTGTGTGCTGCCTGTGTAATATGAAACATCAAACAAACTTTCCCACATAGGTTGCCAAAAGAGAATCAGTGGATACTAACATTATTCATTCATTCTGAACTGCATGAAACAAGTTCAAAACAAAGATAGAAACACAACACTGTCTCCATTGTCATAATCATAAGTGACCCATCTAGCCCCTAGTTAACAGCTATGTTTGAATATCACTTGCTGAAAATGCAGAGAGAAAAAGAAGTATTGCCTTCATACACCTATTTTTACTTTCCCCTATACAACTATAAGAAACTGGATACCTGAGAAAATCCATGTGAGGGGCAACAAAGAACACTTGGACCAATCAGTGCGAGTCCAAGCTTTTTGGAGCTTGTGAACTTTTTGGACAATACATGAGTGTAGGATGGACTACAAAAACTAGGAGAGCCAAAACATTCTATTTAAACGTTTATAATATATATCTAAACTACCCTCTAAGGAGAGATTTTCTGCTATGTTAGAATCCACAAAAAGCCAAAAAAAAAAAANGGCCCGTTTTCGCGAAAAACGGGCCGGTTTTGGGAGGTTTGCAGAGTGTAAAAACTTTTTTTTTCCTTTTGGAAAGCTCCTTAACTGATTGATGAGAATTACATTGATCAAGTGCTGTGCCAGGAGAAACACTTATCTATCTACTGTATTTCTCTCTCTCTATCCCTCTACTTACTTACCTACCTACACACACACTCTCTCTCCCTACTTATTTACTGTATTTATCTATCTGTCTGTCTGTCTGTCTGTGTGTTGTATTTGTGCTATATAGTATAAATATAACATATATATTTCTATTTGTCTCTCTCTATCCCTCTGCCTCTACCTACCTACCTACCTACACACTCTCTCTCTTACCTTCCTACTGTATTTCTCTCTCTTTCTATACCACTCTATCTACCTACCTAATTTTTTTAACTTTGCCTCTTCAAAACCTTGGTGCGTCTTATACTCCAAAAAATACGGTATACAGAAAATAACTTGCTGGAGACTTTTTATATTAATTTATCCAAATCATTAAGTTCACTGTACCTTTCAAGCAACTGTCTTTTTATTATAATAAATCCAACAGCTTAATAAAATTAATACATAATTACCTGTATAACAGCACTGAACCAGCATGTATTACCAACATTTTTTAATCCTACTGGACAAATATCTTGACGTTTTCTATCGTATGGATTTGGAGAATCACTCCAGACTTCTGGATGTGTTCTTTTCAGACTTGCTTTGTTTTCTGCTATGCTTGCTTCTAAAACTCTTAGAAAATAAATGAAATAATTAAAAGAAATAGTCTAACAATTTGGATATACATTTTCACAAATCTTCTTATGCCTTTTAATAACATTTATTAGTCATAAAGTTACTATCAGACTCCTGATTTTTTCTTACACTACATAATCTAAATTATAGATTATCTTAAATAATAGGTTATTTAATAATTGCCATATTAGACCATTGTGAGTTATATTAAGCAAGGTTTTTAGTACATAAATGTAAATAAAAAGATTCCAAAATTAAATCTGGTGTTTTGAAATATGATAATGTGTCATTTTACCTACAGTCAAGCCATGGTTAAAAGTACTGTACTCTATAAACCATAGCAAAGCATCGTTGAACAGCTCACTTTAGAAAGAGGCAAAGCCACACCTAATTCTCAGAACAGCAGTTTTAGGAGGTGTGGTCATACTGCAGCAAAAGCAATTTCAAAACAAGTATTATGGCACAAATACTTGTTATAACCACAATGTGTTCTATTATATAACTATTATCATTTATGTATCTTTGAATAACTTGTGCAATAAATAAATGAACAAATTTTCCATGGAAAACAACATTTCAGATCACATTTATGCAGATATATTGAAAATTCAAAGTGTTCACAAACTGTTAAGTATCATTATATATACAAATCAGTGGGAAATCATTCAGAATAGTAAATTACCCTTTTATAATATAAACTTTCCCCTAATAATTTTCTATTTCACTGTACTAATGCATAAAATTACAAAAAGTATACAAAAAGTGTTGATCTAAGACTGTATTTTTCTGAAGAACTCTGAAGAATTGTTGTTTGGAAAAGCAATTTTTCTCTCTATCTCTCTGGACCATATCCTTCTAGGTGGAAGGTACAGCAATTTCTGAAAGTAATTTTTCCAAACCAGATACAGTACAACATGTACTAGATATATGGTTTTAGGGCAGTGGGTCTCAATCTTCCTAATGCCGCCACCCTTTAATACAGTTCCTCATGTTGTGGTGACCCCCAACCATAAAATTATTTTATGTTTTCNACATGAGTGTAGGATGGACTACAAAAACTAGGAGAGCCAAAACATTCTATTTAAACGTTTATAATATATATCTAAACTACCCTCTAAGGAGAGATTTTCTGCTATGTTAGAATCCACAAAAAGCCAAAAAAAAAAAAATGACTCAAGTCATGATGTCTGAAATCCTAATGATGAACATGTATTTGCTAAACTGTACAAACTATTTCAAAATTTGAAATAGAAGAACAGTGTAGGATAAAGTGAGCTAAAAATTGACAGATTGACAGACAGACATTCATTTTCTCAATGGGAAAATATGTGATTAAGAGCGGACATATAAAAAAAACCCTTAAAATTGTGTTCAAATCTATAGTTTGACATAGAAGAGATTAAAGATCAATGTTAAATTGAAGCTGGGATTTTCCTTTTATTATTAGTGGATAAATGATTAGGGTGGAAAACCATGGGAGATTATTTCAATATATGATTATTGTTGTGAGATTTCTACAGGCAGAGATGAAAAGATTAAACACTACCTACCACAGAGGAATGGTTAGCGAAGTTGACAGATTTTGCTGAAATTGACAACAACTTCTTTTATTATAGAAATAATTTGTTGGTGAGTGGAAGCCTCTTATTAACTTTTTCATACAAAACACAAATATGAACATGATTTATGATTTTGATAATTATACAGGTTGCATTGTTGAAAGAAAAATCTAACTTTGCAGAGACACATTAAAATATATTTGTACTTATAACTTCGGCCTGATGTCAATCAGAAATTAGAAATTAAATGTAATAATTCTATGCCATGAATGCAATACAATTGCATTGCTTTTATTTTGAAGGCAACTCTTTTTTTAAATATACGTTTGTGTTTGCATCCTTGCCAATTCAACTGCATAGCCCAATTGGTTTGGTCCTTCACAACAGCCGCCGTTTCTCTTGTGATTCTTTGAGAAAATTAATTGTTCACCCTGACTTATAGTATTTCTGTTGAAAAATCCTTGTTTTTTGTATATATAGTTCTCAATTTATCACCATCTGTATAATACTGATTCAAAGTTATAATGGCCTCAGAAAAAAATGGCAGTCAAAATTATGACAGCCCCATCACAGCCCTAGCTCAGGAACCAGAGAATTCTGGCTGGGATTCTCTGGATGTAGATGATCTGCCAAGTGGGCTGCAAAATCTCATCGAAAGAGCCATTGGCTCAGGAATTGCGCATGGATTGCAGCAGCAGACTGATTGGTCCTTAGCACCAGATCAAGGTGGGAATCCTAGGGCCAGCTCATCCCAGGCTCGGCCTCAATCCAATTCCGTGAGCTGCCCCACCTCTCCTTCCTTCATTAGTAAAGGTTCAGTAGCAGGGGACAGACCCCAGAGAGATCTTGACCTGTCTGAGGAGGAGAAAGAT